AGAGTAGGGTCAATCTGCTCAGGACGAAGCAGTGAGTGACAACAACCCCGGCCACATTTCGTCTAGGTACCATGTCTGAAGGGTTACTCTCAGTTCTAAAGGTACCGAAAGTGTTTGGTGGAAACAGGGCTTTAATTACCAAAAGAAAACGGCAGCAGAGGATCTTCTTACTAAGACAACTTTCAAAATGTAGCTTGATACAAGTAGTTGCCCCTAAATTCAAGGTATTTGCCCCAAAAAACACATTCAAGGGGGCAAAAAACTGTGTGGTTGTAAATGCCTCCGAACGTCAGACATCGGAAGCAAAAACTGCCCCTTGAAAAAAGTGTTTTATTTTCCATCCGTTTAAGCTCAACTACAACTGACTATTTGTGATAAAAGTGCAGTGAGGTGGATTCAGCTAACCCAAACTCCCACTCTCCCAGATGGCATTAAACTACTCATCATCTTTTATAACCATACTGAATCTTAAATGCAGCATCAAACACAATGCTACCACAGGGTTCTGGAGATGTACCATCATGTTTGACATTGGTCTTACAGTGAGTGTTAGCCACATATAAAACAAGTTATTAGTCTATACCTGCCTGTAAGTCCATATTCAAGGTTCCTTCCTTTCTAGATCATTTTCCAGGACTTTTCCAGGACATCTTAAGTGATAATCTAGCTGGTGTAACAGAGGGCATCTCGCCGAGTCTGATTTATAATATGTGCAGTCTATAACTCGTCTACGAAATCATCTTCTACGTGCTTAGAAATGTTGACCATTCGATCATAGATCCCGGCTTCCCATTGCCAACACACATTTGAAACCACTGTTTGAAACAAGCTAGCAAGAACATCAACTTAAGCAACTGAGCAGATGAAGTGGGGAAGAAAGCAACTTCAATCTATAAACCTTACAAAAACTACCACAGTTGCGAGCCAGCAGTGACTAATATTTACTTTTGAAGGATAATTTGACTCAAATTATTCTGCATTTTAGCCACATACGCTGTAATGTCATCCAACCTGTATGTGCCACCATGTGATGGGACCTTGGGGTGCGTTCACAGTGTTTCCACAACATAACCCAGAGCGTACTCTTGTGCATAAACTTTCATTTGAACAGTAATATGATCCTGAACATAACTTGGCCCTGTCAGACGGCAGTGTTTTCTGTTTTAGGGAGCTCTGATAGTAGTTCATTCTTAACTAAAGGAAAATAGGAAATGTGGACATAGCCGCTCACTCGTTCACTTCAAAGAGCTGGTTCAAAGATTCGGCTCGTTTACTAACGTCACAGTCTGCGGAGTCTATTCTGGGTCCACGTTACAATATCCAGATCACATGATGCGATAAATCATCAATGCAATTCGTCATTGAACCCACTAACACCCCCCACACACACACACAGCAAAAAAAAAAAAAAAAAATTAAAAAAATGAACGAACATCTTTGAACCGGCTCTTCAAAGTGAACAAGAGCCACAGAACCGGCTCTCACAAATTAAGCTGGTAGCCTCTGCAGTTGTGGTGAGCAAAACCCCCCGTCACTATATTTTAATTTTCTTACTTTACGTCCACGTCCATTATGAAGAAGTAACATTCTTTACTAGCTTGATGCTAATGGCAGTACTCACCAGATTGCTGTTTAACGCCATATTTTTTCCCTTTTCACTCTGTGTGGTAACGCCCCTATAGAGAAAATATCTAAAAACCTGGGGTGTTGTTGCTGTACAGTTGTCTACAGCAGTAGATCACTCTGTGTTGCTATTGGTCAAAGTGACGGCTGTGACGGGAGCAGTCATGAACGACAAAAAGAAAATCAAACACGCTAGACTTTCTGTCGGGACATCTTGAGGCGTCCCAGACGTGGCGTCGGTTGTCGTCTACTATGAAAATCTATGAGATAAAATGATGGATTATTGTCGTTCACAATCCGAGCCGATACCGTACGACGCCGCGTCTATCGGGCTATACTCAGGCTGATATTGTGTAGCATGAACCCGGCATGAGTCATCCCCTAAACTTCAGAAAACTTGTTCCCTGTAAATTTTTTGTATCTTACAACCAATGTACTCCGTCAACAGTTTTACAGACGTCTCTTTTACAATGGAGGTCAATGCGTTTGGGCCGCAGGGGATTTTTTTGCGGCAGTAACGCAGGTGGGAAAAATTGGCTTCAAGATATTTAATAATATTAACTGTAAAATAAGAAACCAAAGTACATCAGTATGTACTATCTTCACTCTCCCATCGACATAGTTTTTAATAGGCTATACTTTAACAATATAATCGATTTCCTGAAATCCAGTTATGGCTTTTGGTTTCGGTGTGCCACCTCAAGATTTTCAGTCGCCCCATCTAACCACCCCTGTGAAAAATTTCTGGGGGCGCCACTGATCTCGGGACCTCTTGGGGGGTCCCAAACCACAGGTTGGCAACCGCTGACCGAGACCACAACAACGCTCTCAGCCTGCACATGAGTGTGAAGATCAACTGGGAGAGTGTTCAGGGCATGTATGTACGCCGCAGCTGCGACATGAAGCAGTGACAAAAGACGAAACAACCAGAGATGTACAGTATGTACACTCACACACATACACACACACACATTACATGAGTGTAATACCAAGCCAACATACTGCATGACTGGGTCTAATTGAATGAGCGTGACGACTGAGCCCTGGCCTTTAGTAAGCCACAGCCTCCTGTGGACTCCCCATGGAAAATGGAAACAGGCCCAGACTCTTAAAGGTTATGAAGAAACCCAAAGCGTAACGTGGGACTGAGCAACAGTGCTGGCTTGAGTATCTCTCGATGCAGAGACACATACGGTAGTTTCCTTGACTCAGGGCTTCAACAGGTTGGGGACTGTACAACACGTGTCACTGCTCCTGAGACGTTTATCTCGACTGTCAATAACAGAAAGGTTACACAGGAGGCAGACACCCTGTTCAAATATGCAGTAGCTTCATTTTGAAATCTGATTCAACTAAAGATAACATCCAACACGCATGCTGTGCTACTCCAATATCATTACACCAAGGCAGTAACTTCCTGTCAATTATGTACTTTAGATTAAGATGTTATCGCAGCAGATAAAATATTTCTACAGCTACTACTCAAATATTACAGTTAGGTTAGGGGCAGGGCTTGGCTCGGGAACCAAAGGGACAGTGGTTCAAGTCCCCACAGACAAGGTATGGGGTGCGGACTGGTAGCTGGAGAGGTCCAAAGCCCCAGCTGCCCAGGAAGCCCCCTCGCTCTGACAACCCTCCATCTAATGCATGCATACGTCCTGCTTGTGCATGTGTGTGTATTTTGGGCCTGTGTGTGTATGACAACAGAGAGGAAAAACACTTAATTTCCCCCTGGGAATTGACCTTTTGCTAAGCCCCGCCTCTTTGTGATGGTCCGACAAGCTGTTGGAGTAAGCACGGAGCCCACACTGTCACTAACTGCACTCCCTGAAGGAATATTATCATATTTTTGGAAATGAAGGAAATCTGACACGATGGAGCACAGGTGTGTTGTTGTCGGAGCCTGATGCTGAGTTATGATTGGCCAGTCTGCGTCCAGGGGCGGGACTTAGCGGAGGGTCAATTAAAAAAGTACATCCTCAAGAACTGGGAGGGGAATGCCAAAAAATTTCACACCTTCATTTGGTTCGGTTCACTTTCACACTGCACTTTTTTAAAGCGGACCAAACCACCTGGACAATGTCACACAGTTACAACACCTGCTCACTTGGGGGCGGTATTGCCCGAAATGACCACTGACCAGGAAGAAAAAAAGCATGAGGCTCATCGATTGGCCAGGACTGAAAACGGAAATCCATCCCCTTCAGCCGGCTTGGTCACCACAAAAACACCAAGCACCAAAATGCACTGCGCTCTACGTCACTTCCTCTCTTTGGTCCGCTGGATAGTCCGTTTGCATTTCCCACTGTAAGCGAACCGCACCAGGGTTCACTTGCGAGTGAACCAAGACCCCCAGTTTTCAAGCAGACCAGGGTTCGCTCGTTTGATCCACAGCAGAGTCCGAATGAGCGTTCACACCACTGCAAACGAACCGAACTATCCATGGAAGTGGACCAGGGTTCGTTTAAAGCAGACCAAATAGCACCAGTGTGAATGCATCCTTAGAGTCACCAAGTGTCTTTGGACTGTGGGAGGATGCTTGACACAGGGAGAACATGCAAACTCTGCACAGAAGGGGTTTGAACCCATGTGAGGCAACAATGCTAACCACTGGACCACTGTGCCATCTTCATTTTCACTTTGATTTTTCATAAATTACCATTTATTAACATAGGAGGAGCATTTTTGTTAGTGTGTGCGTCATTTGCCTCCTTTTTTCTCCCAATCTTCTGTATTAAGGCAGCAGTTTTATGTCATGTTATGTATTATATGAATGTATTTTAAAGCATGAAAATCTAAATATCAATATTGCGGAAAAAGAAAAGATGTCAAGAGATTTTCAAACTAGATTTTGCACATTTAGTCCAGAGAAACAGGAATTTTTAGGGAAGGAAAAGTTCATTTGGTGCATCAAGTGTGTTTAAGACAGTTGGATAGATAGACTTAAATCTTAAAAAATAGAATTAAATACACATTAACCTTTACGTTTGTTGGGCTGACATCATTTAGTAGGCTACTAATAAATCAGAAATAGCATAGTGAACAACAACATCAAACCCTAAAGTAATTAAACATATTTATAATGTGTCTGTTCAATACTGAGTTTGCTGTGTGCTATCTCTAAGTTGTGTCTGTCACGCAGTGTGTTCCTAAAACACATGTCTGTGTGCTAGCTCAGCTGACGTTACATTTCAAACCGCCTGGCATCAACCCTGTGACACTGTGGCGCCGCCATAATTCAATAAACTCAAGCTATTTTCAAAAACAGAGGAAACTTTTCCAAGAAGAAAAAACATTAAATTTTAACCACCGTCAGTGCAGCACTGCTACACCGTCTCCTCTTCAAACACAAGGTAAAAATAAGGTCGGAAACTCACGTGTATTGACGGTTGAATCAGCCATTGATGGACAGGAGCAAACCGGAGGACCGGTGGTGATGTTCGGGGACTGGCAGCCGTTGGACGGTGTGGTCACCACTGACCGTGGTCAGACCAAACTGAAGGAGGGACTTGTTACCAACGTTAACGTGTTTCCTGATTCCCAAAGAGTGGATACGCCCTAGTCCGTACTGTGGGATGAGAGCGAGAGGGTTCACTCACTGCTACTTCCGCCTTCGTTGGTTGGTGATTAAAAAGGCGGGGTTTTAACTAGTAGTATTTTTATTTTACCTTACTTTACTTTTATTTTACTTTAGTGTGTATGGGGGGCGATAAATGACAAAAGTTTCAATAAATAATTAAACAGGTTTATAAATAAAGGAATCCATATAGCAATACATATAGAAATAAATAGGCTAAATAGAATAATTATTAAATGCTTAAAAAATAGGACACATGAAAGAATAATTAAATGCTAAAATAAATACAGAATAAAAAGGCTAAATAAAATAATAATCAAATGCTTAAGAAATAAGGAAATAAATAGGCTGAATTAAATACCAATTAAATAAATAGGCAAAATACAATAATAATTAATCACTGAAATAAATATGGACAAACAAGGGAAAAATGAAATAATAATTAAATGCTAAGATAAATATGGAAATTAATAGGCTTATTGAAATAAAAATAAATGCTAAAATAAATATGGAAATAAATAGGCTTCATAAAGAAATACAAAAAAAATACAGAAATAAATAGGATAAATAAAATAATAATTCAATGCTAAAATAAATATGGAAATGAATTGGCTAAATAGAATAATAATTAAATGCTAAAATAAACAGGCTGAATAAAATTATAATTTAATGCTGAAATAAATATGGAAATAAATAGACTAAATGAAATAATTAAATGCTAAATTAAATATGGAAATAAATAGGCTAAACAAGAGAATAATTAAATGCTTAAATAAATACGGAATAAATAGGCCTAATGAAATAATAATAATTTGCTAAAAAAAATACTGAAATTTTAGGCTAAATTAAAAAAAAACAACTTAAATGCTAAAAATAAATACAGAAATAATTAGGCTAAATACATTAATGATTAAATGCTAAAACAAATACAGAAATAAACAGGACATATAAAATAATAATTAAATGCCAAAATAAACACTGAAATTAAAAGGCAAAATGAAATAATAATTAAATGATAAAATAAAATTATAATTACATGCTTAAATAAATACAGAAATAAATACATAAATTAAGAAATAAATGCCTACCTCATAAACATATAGATACAGAAATACATAAATAGATAAATGTAATTGAAAAAAATGTAGAAATACATTTTAGATATTTTTATGTCCTGTTTAATTATTTTTATTTATATTATTTTATCTATCTATGTTTCTATTTATTACAACATTTATGCACTTATATATGTCTTTGTTTATTTGTGTTATTATCATTTTTGTATTTACTTCATCATTTTCCCATTTCCATCCATTTTCAACCACTTATTTCAGGGGTCGACAACCTTTACTATGAAAAGAGCCACTTTTAGCCAAAATAAATAAACTCTGACTGGAACTGCAAAACATATTTGTGCCTCATAATAAAAGGTAACACAGTCTTTTTTATTTTATTATTCTTCAAATTTCTTTTTCTATTTTTTTATTTTTTATTTTATTCTACTGTATACCAGTAGTGTGTGTGGGGGACAATAAATGTATCAATAAATAAATAAACAGATGGATAAATACAGGAATAAATAAATATAGAAATAAATAGGCTTAATAAAATAATCATTAAATGCTGAAGTAAATACAGAAATAAAGAAATGCAGGTTTTAGAACCTTCGCTTCATAGGGAAAAAAAGCAGCTATTCTGCAGTGGGCTAGTTTTGATTATTTGGTACTTTAGCTTTGCAGCGGTGCTGATGAAAGGAAACAAATTTGTCAACGCACTATTAAATTCTCTATTTTCACCTAAGACTTTTCCATTTTTGGATTTGGAATCCACAGCTAGCCGAGTGAGGAAGACTCAAGACTACTGTGGCAATCGCTAGTGATGTTTTGAGAGGAAAAGGCACCAGGCCAGAGACATATGACACACATTTTAGCTGACTTTAGTTTATTTTCACAGTAGAAGCATGTAGGAATCACTTTACGCCTACAACAACAAATGAAAATTAAAATGTTCAAAAATATAACTGTTATTTATTTCCTTATAATTTTCTGTCAAAACCACAGACCAAAGAGTGACTGGAGAGGGGCCAAACGGCCCCACAGAGCTCTGGAGCCAGAGGTTGACTACCCCATGGCTTAGCCGAAGCCAGCCTTTAACACTGTCAACCCGGGCAGGCTGGTCAACAAGCTGCTGTCACTGGGCCCGGACCACCACCTCTGCAGCTGGATCAAGGACTTCCTCTCCAACAGACCACAGCATGTGAGACATCTCCTCTAACACCATCCTCAACACCGGCATTCCCCAAGGCTGTGTTCTCGGTCCACTCTTTTACTCACTTTTCACACACAACTGCACTCTCGTCCATAACACAAACTACACGTACAAGTTCGCTGATGACACAGCCGTGGTGGGGTTAATAACCAACAATGATGAGACAGCCTACAGAGAGGAGATCCAGGCCCTCACATCCTGGTGTCAGAACGACTTGCTCCTCAACTCCAACAAGACAAAAGGAGCTCGTCACTGACTTCAGGAGACACAAGGACACAACACATGCCAGTGTGGTGATCACTGGAGAGGAGGTGGAACAGGTGGGGAGCTTCAAGTACGTTGGTGTTCATCTCTCAGGGGACCTGACATGGGGAGTGAACACCAGAGAAGTCCCTCAGCATTTTCAGTCATGATAAAAACTCATATTTTATATACCCTTCACATAGTGTATATGCAAAAATATAAGGTTGTGAATTCGTGTCAGATAAATGTAATGATGTAGAAAGTGCAATATTTATAAATGTTGTGAAGTAGAAAGTGTCATGAGAAGATGACAGTCAAGGACCTCAAACTTTAAACCACTGCATTATATTTCTGCTCCACTAGAGGGAGCTATTGTACTTCTTATTTCACTACACTCGTTCAGTACCACAGACCACATCTGCTTTGGTGACCACAGGGGGAGCTGGGTTCATACGAGGCTTTCAAAGCTTTCAAAGTAAACTGCTAACAATGACAGTTTATCTTAGGGGGCACACACACACACACACACACACACACACGGTGCACCAGCATTTAAACAGAAAGCCATTTCCTGTAAAAAAAATAACCTGACAGCGCCCTGTCACTCACTGCTCAGAGGAGCTAATGATGCACACCAGTTTTATTTACTCTCTATAATTAGCAGATGATCTGATATAATACCACGGTCAACATTAACCCTCTCACTGACTGTGACAAACAAATAAAACGACTTATTAAAAACAGATTAGGCTGTGATTGTACAGTCGTGTCCGGCATGTCCTGCACGTCCTGCACGTCAGTGTTTCCCTCCTGTGGCATCAGTATCATAAAATGCTGCCCTCTATTGGACCTAATCATGCTTTCATTCTGACCTGCTAATCTGCATTACTTTACACATTACATTACATTATTAGTTAGCCTCTGTATCCTCCTCTTACTTTAAATCAGGTATGTTAAAGTGGTGAACATGACAGTGCAGTAAATTGATCTGACTGTTTGCAACCTGCCAGTCGCTGATGCCAAACACCAGGCTGTTGTCCAGATGGCTCAGCGCTGCTCAGCCAATGAAAGGCTGCATAAACAACACATGAATAACCAACCAGTTAGATGGGAACACATTTTAAAAGCAGGTGAAATGTAAATCTGTTTGTCAGATTCAGACATCATCAGGGAAGCAGCCACACATGATATAAAATGTGTTTGATGTTTTGCACGCTACCGTCTCTTCAGAGTCACTTGATCCCATGTTAATAGACATATATTCATCAGCAAATAGTATGTTACATACTGGTTAGAAACTGTTTATCTAGCTTAAGTAATATTATCATCACAATATTTAAAACTTTACAGTATATGATGCAGCCATATTTCAATCTCTGCATACAGTAGTGGGATGCAACTAAGTATATTTAATCAAGTACTGCATTAAGTACAATTTTGAGGCACTTGTAGTCAACTTTGAGTCTATTTTATGTTACTCCCTTTACTCCTTAGTGCTATATCGTAGGCAACTGGACTTGCTCGAGTCTCTTGAAGACGTTTCATCCAAGAGGCGTCTTCAGTTCTAAATGAGTGGTGCGGAGTCGCAGGCTTTAAACCCAGTGTGGGTGTGAACCCTTGTTGTCATGTGAGCTCTTAGTTTTAGAGTCACTGAGGTCACATGTGAGTCATTAGGGTCAAGTGGGACCAGGGGTGAACGGGTGTGAAGTCATCCAGGAAGGGATCCCAAGACTGCACTGTAGGTGGGTGATAAGTGGTGTCGTAGGCCACCTCTTCTGTTGAACGATGGTCGTTCCAGTTTGACATAGATGGCGTCTTCTATGCCTCTTTCAAACCATCTTTCTTCCATGGCCGAGATGTGAACATCGCTGTCCTCCAAAGAGTGTCCCTTCTTCTTTAGATGTAGGTGAACAGTTGAGTCATGACCTGACGAGCTGGCTCTGCTGAGCTGTGCCAGCAGAGCCAGGTTGGTTGTTTTGTTTTGCAGTCTTGGGATCCCTTCCGGGATGACTTTACACTCATTCACTCCTGGACCCACCTGACCCCAACGACTCATATGATGGCAACTATGGCAACGACTCACATAGTGACCTCAATGACTCTGAAACTCACAGCTCACATGTGACCTCAACGACTCTGTAAGGGTTCACACCTAAAGAGTTCAAAGCCTGCAACTCCGCACCAGTCATTTAGAACTGGAGAAGCCTCTTAGATGAGAGGCGAAACGTCTTCAGGAAACTCAAGCAAGTCCAGTTGCCTACGATATAGCACTTATGATAACCATGACCTGGATGACTGAGAATCTTCACCGACAAAACTCCCTTTACTGCATAAATTTTAGAAGAAAATATTGCAGTTTTCACCCCACGACATTTAGCCTATTTTGACAACTTTCATTACTTTGCAGACTCTACGATAATGTTAATTATCCTCACCTCATACCTTAGTGATAAACATGCTTTTCTCATCTGTGTAGGGTACTTAATTCACTTTTCACTGTAAGCTTTGTACATTTTGTCAATAGTATTTG